GCAAAGGTAAAATGATTAGTTGATAAAAGGAATTACCATAAGGAATTATACAACTAAATTGAACATCAACACAGACAATTTTTTCCATGTGAAATTTACATGTTCTCCATAAACTACACACGTATCTTCCAAAGTTCTACTAGATACCAATTAAAAACCTTATTCTCTTCATTACTTCCTAAATATTTCTTCATTACTTCCTAAATATTTCTTATAGGTATGTCTTAAATTACTTGCTACATACCCATTTTTGGCAACCTTTTTTAATCTGCATTATATCTAAAGTTAGGTCCCACACAAATTCACCCTTTATTCTCTCAAAATTTTCACTTCCTAAAAACTCTGCCAAAAGTAAATGTAACAAGTAAAATGAGACGGAAGGAATATTTCCTATCCACTTTTGAAAATTTGTTCAATATATCCTATAAGTTGGCCGGAACAACAAATTATTCTAACAAAAGCCTTAGAGAGGGATTCACTATTCTGTAAGCTGCATCTTCTGCCAGAAGCGAGACTTCTATAAATCAAAGTGACAACATCCCAACGGAGGAATGACAGTTGAGTTAATTTCGTTTCTTTAAATAAAACACAATGATAAGTTAATACAGAGTACTCCCTAACTAGCTTTTTAAAAAGAAGTTTTAAGAAAAAGGCAATACATAGTTAGTTGTCAGTTTGTCACCATTCACCATATTCTAAAAAGTCCCTATAGAATAGCTTAGTAGCAGAAGCATACTTTTCAACAACCTTCCTCATCTCCATAGCATATTCCCTCTTATCAGTTTGTGCGCGCAGTGCTCGAACTGCCGGGCCTCTGGATGTGTTAAGAACGCGTTTTTGCAGATAGCACCTAAAATTTTAACCAAAAAAAAAGAGGCATCAAACTCTTTGTAAAGCAAAAACCGTAAATCTTCATCAAAGATAATGGTACAGATAGATAACTCATATAAACAGTTTCCTACAAAACTCAAAACTTCAGAAGCACGAATTCAGATACAACAAATTTCTCAAAAAAGTATAATGAGATGGCACAACAGGCTCCTCCAAAATCAAGCTGTCACCGTGTGATTACAAAAAATTCTTTCTAATATGAAGAATTATATGATTTCAAATAGGCTGGAATTAGCAAGAAAAGCAGTCATGGAAATAGTAAGCTGTTTTTCATCACATCATCAGTTTTTCGTTTTTACAATAAATAGCAAAAAGTGTATGGTGTCTACATTTCTCAGACCACCATTAAATTTCTATTCAAACCAAATATTACCTATCGGCAATCTTTCCTATGTCACCACCAAGGGCATCCACTTCGTGTACAAGTTGTGATTTTGCAGGCCCGCCAACTGCCGGATTGCATGGCTGCATGCAAATTCTTGGTTAACTTTATTGCTGACCAAAATAAGATAAAGTATAGTGAACAGAGAGTGGAAAACAAAACACTGAAGCAGCAATCTCAGCCTTCTCAATAATCACTCGTTTAAGAAATGGGAGCCAATGAAAGGTTATACAAAGTCAAGATCAGCACCAATCTGAAGAAAAAAGACTGAAATATCTTTAAGACACTAATTTAAATAAACATAGACATAACAATCTGGCATACTGATCTCCATCATCAATGTGTTTCTCCCTGACTATGAGAAGAAATTTTCTACATACAAATGTACTGGGAAGGAAGGATATGACAAGAAATATAATTGAGTAGCATTTACACCTGAAACCATTCTTAAATCCATTTTGCATCAAGATGTTCAATTAAGTACACTAATTGCTTTCCTTCTTTGCGAGTTGATTGAATAAGAGCATGCAATGCAAAAGGGGTGCAAGAGTAATGGATTTACAATTATTTTCCAAAAAGATATGGAGATTATCATGTTTCAATTTAAATGCTACAATGGAATAAAGTCATGTATCTTCAATGTCTAGCTACTTCCAATTTCCAAATATGAAATCATGAAAAACTAAGACAAAGACTAGTCAATGGTGAAAATGTCTAAACAAGCAAACAAATTGAAAATCTACTTTCTTCATAACTGCCTATTCTCCATAGAGAGGTTAGATAACACCAAGAAGTAAAAGATATATCCTACGTGTGTCAGAAGATTTACCTGCCATGCAATCCTGTCAATGTTTAGCGTGAGAAGTAGAGTCTTTGCCCCTACACGAGCAGAGGCAAGAGCAGCTTCACATCCAGCATGTCCACCTCCAACCACAATGACGTCATATGTTTCATGAGCTGCTTCACAGGAACACTCCAGTCAGGGAATCAGGATTTAAACAATAAAAAAAAAAAAAAAAAAAAAAAAAAAAAAAAAAAAAGATAACAAACCAATACTCAATCATTGTTTACCCCAATTAGGCATTCATAATGGGATTCTTATTAGATGGTCAAGTCAAGCAGGAAAAGTATGTTATTTTTATGCCATCGTATGATGAGAAGTCCCCTAACATAAGATTTTATGAGATCTAATCCCCTAAAAAGAGCAATTATACCACAGCTACAAGTAGCATAATCAAATTAGCTGAGTATGATAAAGTGCTTGCCCAGCTCCATAGTTCTTATAGTTATAGACCAAATCAGAACCTGATTTCAAAAGCAAAGGTCACTGTATTATCGTCTCTAAAGATGTGAAAGCACACATCTTAGAATGACTGGGCACAAATTATCCAATAAGCACCAAAAGAAATTAGAATTTGGTGCAAAATCGGTATTCCTGCAATTTACTCATCAATATTGGCAATAACATTGGGCAGGCACGGTATATTATGATCTTGGTTATAATACTATGCAGATTGTAACCAGGGGTGTGCCATTTTACAAACAAAGAAATCACAATACAAGCTACCAACTAAGTTCCAAAACACTCATATTCACTTCCTAGTCATGAAAGTTCCATTGAACTCCCAACATGAAATCTAAGTCCAAAACACCTGTTGCATAGTCCAGATTTCCAAAAAGATCCAATAATAATGATCAAATTTCAGCTTAAGTTCATACATAAAATTCTTAACCATTTTGCCATTAATCCTGGGTAAACTCAAAAGAATTCGTGAAACGCCCAAATCAAACAACAAAGTACATAATTCAGAAACCCATTAATATCCCAGATGTGTGAGGCCGAAATTTGCAAGCCACAATGCAATTTTCCGACAACTACTCAACAACCCCAGCATGAACACCAACTGTTTGTTAAAATGCCGCAATGAAAATCCAAACAAAAAGGAATAAAATTCAACATTCAGATATCAGAGGAACGGAGGAGAGAGAAAATGACAACTCACCGACATAACTAGACGCTGAAACAGTGAATTTCCTGGAGGAATTGAAGGACAAAAGGGGACAATAGCGGAGTGACTTGGAGCGAAAAGAGAGGTGGCGAGGTTTGAAGAGTGAAGAAGATAGAAACGAAGTGGGTATGGAAGATACAGCAGGAAAATGGCGCGTAATCCGAGTGAATTGAGTAAAAGTAGTTGCCGCCATTAAAGAGTGATGAAGCTTTTTCTGGTTCTATAGAGCTTCCATGGTAAGAGTCATAGAAAAGATAAGCCCTAATAACACTGAGGAGTGAGGAGACTCGTTTTTCGTTTTAGAAGGAGATTGACTTTTTTGAGGAATAGAAAGAGATTGACTTTCAAATTGAGGTAATTTATGTACTCTTTGTATCTCTTATTTTTTGTTGCATTTGACTTTTCACGATATTCAACACACGTCTTCAAACGCATATATCTCTATTTCTATAAGTGTAAAAATTATAATAATTTGATATTAATAAACTATACAATGAGACAATTTTAACAAGGTCCCACATGAATATATTATAACTTATAGATCAACAAGAACTCATGGTCAAAGTTTTAAAAATTTGACCCAGGATGGAGAATTATAAAAATTTGATAATAATAAACTATACCATGAGACAATTCTACCAAGATCCCACATGAATATATTATCACTTATAGATCAACGAGAATTCATGGTCAAAGTTTTAAAATTTTGACCCAAGACGGAGGGAGTACTTCATTTCACATTTTTTAAATGGAATTTATGTAAAACTGAAATTATGTGTTTCAATTTTCAAGTTGTTGTTGGGTGGATTTTGCAAAAAATAATTCTATACCAAATAATATTTGGTCTAATAGAGATTGTATTTTAAAACACTAGAGGCAACTTGGAGATTGAGATCATCTTACCCTTCCGTCAACTACCAAGGAGTCTTGCTCATTAACCCAGATTGAGTAATCCTATGAGAGATTTTGGTCTAATAGAACATCATATCCTTACCTACCAATAGAAAGCAATTTGCAAACGATGATTTTATGTAGCAAACTCAATTTAAATTATGTGCTTTAATAGGTTTTTATGCTCTAAAATATTTTCAACGATATCTAACAACTACAAAACTGGTGTACCAGTCGTCATGAACTCATGATGCATAAGTCCTCAACCCAAAAAGCATCGTACAATTAGGCCAACATGAGAAATTCGTGAATATTTTATGCATTTGATTTATGAAAGTATAATGAAACGTATTCCTTTTTTTTTAAACTCTAATATAGTGTTGTCTATACAAAATTATGAATGAAGAGATTATTGGAAAAAAGGTTAAATCATGAGTATATTAAGATTCGAACAATAGAATACATTACCAAGAATACAAGCTTCATCTTATGATGCATCAAATAACTACTCTTATTTCTTTGCTTATAATTTGCTTCATGACAGAGTAAATAAACATTTTGGGCTATGCCTGCACTGACATTATAACACTTTATATCCGTCCATATAGTAATATATCACTAGTGTTATGAGTACGTGTACTAGATTGATGTGCATTATAACACTTTATATGCCTTTGAAAATATGTTTTCACTGCGGAGTACTAAACATCCTAGTTTTAAAATTCACAATTTTGCTTGAGTTATGTATATATAAAATATAAATTTATTTTTAAACATTTCCATCTTATAAAAAGAAGTCCAAACGACATTCCAAGCTTCCAACATAATCCATCCAATTGACCAATTACTAAAATCAAATTCAAACATCATTTCACTCAAAGCGGGAAAACCACCGACCAAGAGCAACAGGAAGAGGAGAGAGAGGAAACACAACAATGGAGGAAACCACAACATCAACGAAGAAGAAACCACTCAGTCTCAACCAACGTTATTCTCACGTCCTCTCTGCTTCTCAATCCAAACCTCCTCATCGTACTCTCCTTTTCTCTCTTCAATTTAACCCTAATTTCTGCATTTTTTATGATCAATTTTTCATAATTTGAAGCTCTATTTTTGGTGTTACAGGTGAAGGAAATCAGTCCAAGTTGAAGGAATTCGAAGATGATGTTCCTCATTTCTCAATCGCCGATTCTGATTCTTCTCCTGGTTTGTTCTTCTTAACATTTTGCCCTATTTTGTAAATTTTTAGTTTTTTGGTGTGGGTTTTTGTTTGGGGGATTATTGAAGAATTAATTAATTGCAGATGTTATAGAGTTTTCGAAAGCGAAGGCGAATAGTAATGGAGGTTCTGCGGTTCATGATGATGAATCAATTGGTGGTAGTATCACGCAGGTTTCTGGGTTTAATGATGTTGTGTCTCTTACTGGTATAATTTCTTTCCTTTTTTCCTGAATTTTACAAAACATTGAATTGAATTTATTTATATTAGTATATGCTAGGTCAAGGTTAGGTTTCTTTAAATTAGCTGAATTATTAGGTCAATTTTTTTGGGTGGTTTGGGTTGATCAATTTGGGGCTAAATTAACAGAAAAATCGAAGCCGGAAAAGGTGAAAATTGAAGGAAGGAGACGTCTTTGCAAAGTAGCATGCAAAGATAATGATGATGATAACCAACAACAGGTTAAGGAAGATGATCTCAATTTATTTGATATTTCTGATTATAGCTCACCGCCACCGGTGAAGGATGTGGGTTGTGGGGGGAATGAGATTAGGGATATTCTTAATGATTTGAATTCGAGGATGGAGTTTTTGTCGATTGAGAAGAAGCCAAACCCTAGGCCAGTTGACCTAAAAGCTGTTCCTTTGGTGGATGTTTCGTTGCATGAAGAGAAAGTAAAGGGTGTGGGTCAAAATGATGAATTGGCAGACTCTGAATTTGGTAGTGTTGATTCGTCGTTTGCTAGTGCTTCTGAGTTGTCAAGCTCTTCATCGGGTGTGAAGGGTGGGGTTGATGACAAGGAAGTTGAGAGTGGGGCGTTGAGTGAATCTGATGGGGATAACTTTGTTGAGGAAACTAAACCGAGCAAGAATGATTATAAAGGGAAATCCAGGAATGTGAGCACACCAGTCGAGGAAAAGCCTGTTGTCACTCACAGGAGTTCAGCTTATGCTTTGAAAGATGAGAGTGATGATGATTGTGTAGAGGTGGTAGGTAACAATTGGACTAGGAGAGAAAAGCGGCATGGTGGTTTAGTAGATGAGGAGTATAGCAATTCAACTGTTGTTGAGGTTTTAGATAATGCTAAAGATGATGCTAAAGAGGTTAATACAGTGGATGAATATGCAATTACTCTGACTGGCCCAAGATCAACTTACAAGCTACCTCCTAAAATCGGCAAAATGCTTTATCCTCATCAACGTGATGGACTGAAGTGGCTTTGGTCTCTTCACTGTCAAGGGAAAGGTGGGATTTTGGGAGATGACATGGGCTTAGGGAAAACAATGCAGGTAACATATTTTTTATGTTATTTTTTGGAGTTGCTACTTTTTTGTATTGTCTGTACTTGGTTATTGTTAACAGTTTTTTTTTTTTCCTTTCTACTGCCTTTCAGATTTCTGGTTTTTTAGCTGGTTTGTTTAACTCACGTTTGATAAAGAGGGTAATGATTGTGGCTCCAAAGACACTTCTCCCTCACTGGATCAAAGAACTCTCTGCTGTGGGTCTTTCACAGAAGATAAAAGAGTGAGCTTACTTGACCATGTTAAACAGGGATGTTTGGGTCTAGGAAGGGATTTTTTTTTACCACGTGTTAGTTTGACTTTCTAACTTTTGCTCCTATGCAGATATTTTGGAACGTGTCCTAAGCTACGACAGTATGAACTCCAATATGTGCTTCAGGTTTGGCTTTGACTTGTCAAATTTACATGACATAGAAAGAGGATTTGTGTTCAGATCTTTTAGCTGGGTTTTACTAGTTTTGTTTTTGCGCACACAGTATCTTATAGATGTAAGTGAATTTTTTATCCTGCAATTTGGTTATTCAAACATGGAATCAATTTGACAGTATGTATGGAAGTTAGAAAGATCTAGATGACTTGATTTTCTTATTGTCATTTCAGACATCTATATATGTAAATAATGTAATACATCACTGGCATTAGTTTTGTCTTGTTTATCTTCTTGATTTTTATGAATAATTCTTTGTTTTCCTTGCAGGACAAGGGTATTCTATTAACAACCTACGACATTGTACGGTTTAATGCAAAACAATTATGTGGAAATGACTTTTATGACGATGACGGTGATGATATCCCTCTTTGGGATTACATGATACTGGATGAGGTAAGTAACAATTAGGCAGATCTATTGTTACACGTCATATGTTTGATTGTCTAAAAGCTTACTTCTTTTCACTTTTTTTTTTGCCCTTGTATCTTCTATCTCTCGTTTTCTCTGTCTACATTTTCTGATTCTTCCAACGAACTATCTTTTGGATATGCTCACATTTCTGATTCTTCCAACGAACTATCTTCATGTATTACCTGTAAAAAAAAAAAAAAAAAAAAAAAAAAAAAGTAAATTTAATACTCCATACTGTTTTTTAAAATTTTTAAATTAATGGTTATGGAAGGTTACCAACCAACAAACTTCAACTTTTATCTATACTAATCTGACTGCACTTGGGCCTTTCAAAAAAAAAAAAAATCTGACTGCACTTGGGTTAGTCGCAAGCTGTTTCATTATATTCTACATCTTTATGTCCTCCATTTTGTCAATATATGGAGGTTATACATGCTGCAGGAAGCATTTTTCCTATATATGTATCTTTCTACATTGATATTTATAGAAATCCTTTCATTTACAAATTACAATTCACCTAACAAAGTATGAGAAGTAAGAATGTGTAGCTGTGTAAAAAAAACCTCTTTTGATTTTCTTTCTTTTACTTAATTCCATTTGCGTAAATCTTGGCCCTTTTATATTTTTATTATTATAAATTTATTTAGGGTCATCTTATAAAGAATCCAAGTACACAAAGAGCCAAAAGTTTGCTTGGAATACCGTGTGCCCATCGCATTATCATTAGTGGGACACCAATTCAAAACAATCTAAAGGTATTATCAATTCAATCTCCTAAATATTTTTTGATATGTTGAGCCATGTACAAGAAGTATCTGTGTGATTTCATCTTGATCCTTTTTGCTTCCTTTGATTGAAATAGGAGTTATGGGCACTCTTCAACTTTTGCTGCCCTGATTTGCTGGGTGACAAGAAAGAGTAAGTCTTTCCCGATAATGTAACATCTGAAGGAGGATTATTTCTTATTGCTTAGTTTGAGATTTGGTGTATAGGTTCAGGGAAAGATATGAGCATCCAATTCTTCGTGGCAATGACAAAAAGGCCTCTGAAAGGGATAAGCGTGTTGGTTCAATGGTAGCAAAGGTAATGGTGTTTCAACATGTTTCTATGCCTTTTCATGCTTAATGTGGATTTATTGAGTTATTGTTGATGATGATTTTAATACTTTGGGGGTGATGAAGCAAGCATTTGAATTCCCTTGGGTATTTCTATATTTCTACTGTATAAAAACTTTGTATTTCATTTGGGATGCTCCTTCCTTAGGCAGGGTAATTGGGTTCAGTGGGTTTAAATGTACACATTTTTACCAGGCTATTTTTTATTATTCTGATACACATTGTCTGCCTACAACAAACTTAATAATAAGTTCAGACAGTTCGTGATCCATTTTAAATAAAATATTGCTCAAGTCTAAATTAAGTGAGTCTTTGCATCTTTGGCTTCATATGGAAACAGATGTAACGATAATTCAATCTTTCAATTTTATGTGTTTTTGTGGGTATTCTTTGATAAATGTCTTTGGTTTGAAAAGAAAATTAATTTTGGACTATTATATGTTTTTATTTCCTCATCTTTTATAAGTGACTATTTGATGAATGTAAGTTTAATATGTCTGTTAGTTTAGTACCAACTAATATTGCTAAGAAAAATGTGAGAATGTTGACAAGATGGTGTAAATTACAAGAAGAGAAACAGGAACACATACAGTTAGATAACATCGAATTTACTGGATTCGATTCTGTGCTTGCAGGAGCTAAGGGAACGTATACAGCCTTATTTTCTTAGACGTATGAAAAGCGAAGTGTTTTGTGAAGATGACACTTCAGATAATGCTAAGCTGTCCAAGAAAAAGGAAATAATAGTGTGGTTGCGGTTGACTAGCTGCCAGGTGTAGTTTTTGTAGAGGCACATTCTGAATGATTCTTATTTGAACTGTTAGAGTGTCTAATATTTTCTTTCTTCTAACATATTTTGTGCAGCGTCAACTCTATGAGGCCTTTTTGAAGAGTGAGATTGTCCTTTCAGCATTCGATGGCTCTCCTCTGGCAGCAATCACGGTATTGTATCTTGTCATTTTCCTTTAACTTGGTTTTTCTCCGCATCCTTCATGTTTTGCATTGGCATTGAAGGTTTACCACTGATTATTTTTTGTGAGTTGCGATGTGTATATATATAGAGAGAGACACATGAACGCGCGCGCGCACACACACACACACATGAACGCGCACGTGTGCACACAGACATGCACGCGCACGTGCACACACACACACACAGAGCTACATTCATCCTGTTGGACGCCTGTTTGGTTGTTTACCAGACTAGCAGAGGGAACAAAATGTAATCATAAATTTATGTTGTTAATAGTAGTAGTAACATAGATACACTTTCAACTGTAATAAAATTTGAGTTTATTACTCAACATATGCAACAAGCCAAGCTGCAGTGCCACGCGGCATAATCACATATGAGAGGAGGCGCAAAGGGAACTGTTGGAGGCTATGTTAGTGGAGCAGTGAATTTAGAAGAATGTGACAAAATATGGCAGGGTGGTTGTTAGGATTTATTGTTCACTTTTTGCTGATTATGATGTATATATAAAAAGGGGAGGAAGGGCTGTGCTTGGGTAGCTTGTTTGTGGTATTTGGCAATTAGGGAGTAGTGACCTAAATTCACCCTTGCAGACTTGTGGCCTCAAGCCACTGCTTGTAAGAAAGTTCATCCCTTTATTAATGAAAAAGCGTCCTTACTTCCCTCAATCAGTCTGTTGTTTAAGTTCTATGCTTGGTGGTAGCATTTCGTTACAACATATCTGTTGCTTGATACTTAATGGTGGGCTTTGGTTGCCATTATAATTTCTTGATTGTTTCGTTATTTGGGATATTGAACGCAGATCTTGAAGAAGATATGTGATCACCCTTATCTTTTGACAAAGAGAGCGGCTGAAGATGTGTTGGAGGGCATGGATTCAATGCTTAATCCGGAAGACTGTGGTCTAGCAGAGAAATTGGCCATGCATGCAGCAAATTTGACAGGGGAAGATGATCTTCAGGAGAAGCATGACAATCTCTCGTGCAAGATATCATTTATACTATCTTTGTTGGTCTGTGGACCTCCCATCCAAAGCCTTATTAATAATTAATATTTTTTCTTATGTCTAATATAAAATTGCAATTCTTGCAGGAAAAATTAATTCCTGAGGGGCATAATGTTCTTATATTTTCTCAGACACGGAAAATGCTTAATATCATTCAGGTTAGTTTCATTAATTCTCATCTTCCTGTACTCTGCCTCTAGTACTTGGGTACATGAGGAATTGAGCAACTCTGCACATGATAGTTTTTATCAATACAGAAGAGATCAGCCTGTCGGGGAAGGGTTTTGCATGGAATTTGTGAGTTATGCTTCTTGACAAGGGCTAGTAGAGTGGTAGCATCCTTATGCGGTAGGCTGGTAGCTTGATTTTTACGTGTGTTAAGTAGTGAGTCACGGTTGTTTTTTCTTAAAGAATATAGCTCTGGCATTTTACGTGCATTTCAAGTTTATTGCCTTTGGTGTGATTTCCTGTTGTTTCTGTTTGGCCTTCATAAGCGGGTTCACACTTCTCTTATAATATTCTCAGGAAGCTTTGGTGACTAATGGTTTTGAGTTCCTACGCATTGATGGCACGACCAAAGCTTGTGACAGGCTGAAGATTGTAAATGTCAGGGCTTAATCCTTTTTTCCTTAATAGTTGAATAATTATACATTTTGGAGATAATTCTGAAATTTATATCTCTTCATTCCTGTATAATTATTAGGAATTTCAAGAAGGTCGTGGAGCTCCTATTTTTCTGTTAACCTCTCAAGTTGGTGGTCTTGGCTTGACCCTCACGAATGCTGATCGTGTCATTGTTGTTGATCCAGCATGGAATCCCAGGTATGTGCTTTTTGTAAGCTATTTCATGGATATGAAAAATTTATGGTTTTGTATCCTTGCAAATGCGAAATATGGAAATGGAAGGAAAAGTGAGAGGATATCTGGTCATTGTCTAATCTGACCAGACTCATAGGAGATTACAACTGTTATCTTCCAATATTTTTTCTGACAGTAGAAAATTTTAATGTGTTCTGAATCTTCTGAATTTTGAATTTCCTTTGCGCTTTGTTTTCGAATAGAGGCAGCATATTGAACCAAAATATTTTTATGTATGCTCATAAATAGTTGTCTTGTTTTGAGCAGGTTTCTGTTTCTAAACCCCAAATGTCACCATCAGCTTCTTTGAATTTTATAACATCCATATCCATATACTTTCAGCCATAGCTCTGTCTTTGAATTCCTTATCATCCATGATTGGATATCCTCCCACCATTACCTATTTAAATGCCATAAATGCCTCACCTCTGCCAATTGTAGAATCAGTACTTTTATTTATGGTTATCTGTTTTGCTGAATATTAGAACCTAGTTATTGTTTGTCTCTTGACATAGGGATACAAGTTCTCATTAGTTTGTGTGTTAATGGAAGGATTTAATCATCATAAACTTACTTTGATATGCAAACTGTGAAGGATCATGATATTTTGGGTAAAGGGTAATAAGGGTATTAGTAAATAGCCAATTGTATATCTTGAAGTGGGATTATCCAGAGCAACACTATCACTCTTTGTATTATCTGTTTATATACAACTTCCAAGTCTCATGCAAACATTGGAAACATGTAAAAAAAAATTCTTCTATTTGATCTTTACAGTATGGATAACCAAAGTGTCGACCGTGCTTATCGGATTGGCCAGAAGAAAGATGTTCTAGTTTACAGACTGATGACATGTGCTACAATTGAAGAAAAAATATATAGGATGCAGGTTAGTTTTTATTTTTCTTTCTTGTTTTTGCCATTTATGTTTTTAAGTGAATACCTTGTTTATTTTGGGTTAACATCTTGAACTGTGCTTTAGATATACAAGGGTGGCTTGTTCAAGACTGCTACAGAGCATAAAGAGCAAACACGTTACTTCAGTCAGCAGGTTTGTCTTCTGATTACTATGTGTTGCTCTTGAGCTATTTCTTACAGTCACGATGTTATATCCTTGCTAATTACTCTTTTCAGGATCTTAAAGAGCTTTTCAGCCTTCCAAAAGATGGGTTTGATGTTTCTCCCACTCAGTTGCAGTTGGTTGCTGAACATGGTGACCAGATCTCATTGTAATTTTCTTGTAATCTTATCCAGTGGGCTTTTCTAATTTATGATTTGTTTGCTTTCATTTCATGTTGTGCTAATGGTTGTCTTATATCTGTCAATAGGAGTGACTTTTTGAAAGCCCACATCAAATTCCTGGAATCTTTAGGCATTGGAGGTGTCAGTCACCACAGTTTGCTCTATTCCAAAACAGAACCTACACCAGCTGCACAGGTAGAAGAAGATGAGCCGAGGTGAATGACTACACTCTGTCTGTTGAGACAATACTTACTGTGATATTAGCCATATTGTAATTACGCAGCTATAACTGGAGTACAAGGGAGACTGGGTTTTTTTATTTCTGCATTTGTACGAGTCTTCTCTTATGTAGGGTGATCCTAGAAACCCTTGAATTTTGTTATCTGTAACGAGATAGTAAATCTTTTTCACATTTTTTATTCTCAGGAGAACAGGAAATAAAACATATAGGAGATATGGTTCTTCGTCAACTTCAACTGAGCATTATGTCGCTGGGTATGATACTTCTCAAATATTATGACTGAAATATGTTTTTTTTTTTAATAATGTTTCGTGGCTTTCTTGATATAATGCAGTAAAGATTTGCAGTTATTCTTATTTTAATTTTACCTATCTAGGTCTGAGTATGCATTTAATCCGAAGGATGTAAACCTCCGCAAGATCAATGCTTCCCCACAACGTGATACTAAGCTTACCGAATCAGATATCAAGGAGAGGATTAATAGACTTTCTCAACTTTTATCAAATAAGGTCAGCATCATGATTACACCACAAACATAAAACTTCAAATGCCTAGTTGCACTTGTACTAGACTCTTAGTCGTGGAGACTTTTCTTTTGTGCTGTGCTCTAGATTACTTTGTTTGTCATTTTAATTTTAGGAGCAGATGAGCAATGTACCTCATATATTTCCAACAACCTATTTTTTGCTGATATGCAAACCAAATATTGGCTGGTAGTTGACACACTAATTCATTCGTATGGATTTTTTTTAAGAGCTTTTACGAAGCTATACAACTGTTAAACATCCTATAAAAGTATACTATTGGTTTATAGATCATGTTTTGTCAACTCCAAGCCTTCACTTTTGATTCTCTAATGACTTGTTGATGATTCTTGCCATTTACATTCTTTCAACTGCTTCAGGCTACTGTTTCGCGATTACCTGACAGAGGGGAAAAACTTCGAAGTCAAATCACAGAGCTGACGTTGGAGCTTGAAAATTTAAGAACACCTGAAGGGACCAATCAGGTCATTGACTTGGATGACATTACGGACTCATTTCAGAGATCGTTACATGTATAAAAGCTTGGTGCAGGACACTCTTGTCCTCGTACTGTGGATTGAAGTGTAATTAATGAAAGGGGTACATAAGTGGAGCTGATCAGATGATTTTTTCTATTTTTGTCTGATATAATCATTGGCTTAAACATGGGGCACTGGCTTGCTGCCCTTTGCTGGGAATGGAGTTGAAAGAATGTATTTATTTGCTGAGGCATAATTTTGTTGTATATGCTCTCAGAAAGTCAGAAGTGAACATTGAATTGCTTTGAATGTCATTGACTCTTCATTTCCAGTATTCTGTTATTATTATTCTACTTAAAATTATTTAAATGAAGAGTGGAATGTTTTGATGCTTAGCTTTGGCTGATGAACCATCACAAGATTAAGTCCCCAACCTTGTGGTTGTTTGGTTGAACGAAAGAAACAATATTTTGTAGGAACTTGCTATCCTGTGTAATCAATTCCTATTATGATATGTTTGGGTTTGATGAAATATGGGGGGAACATATAACGAGTAACAATTCTGGTCACTTTCACTGGTTTGGATTTTGAGTAATCAAATAAAGGGAGTAATTTATTTTCCTTAAAATTAGGGAGAGTTAACCACCCCTGTCCTTGGATAAAATTTATCGCATGGATTATTGAAGTAATTTATAGAACTTAATTATATTGAATTTATTTTAGAATCGACAATTTAATTGTTACAATGAATATTCAATACATGCAAGAAAAATTATGATCTGTTACCAAAATTGCAAGATTAACCAATGAAGATAGTGTAAATTTACAATGTTCCCTTTCTTATTGTTTAAATATTGTAAAGAAAATTATGACAATATTTCGGTTGAATATCTTTGAATTCTATTTATGACTTTCGTTTCATATTATGTGCAACAATTGAAATTTTTATAATAGTATCTAAAATTGTTATACATGATGTGAAACGGAGGCAGTATATTAAATTGAGGAAATATAGCTTTGTGAAATATATTTGTCATTAATTGAACTTTGACATAATCATTTTTTTTTAATTATTTTTTATTTTTTATTTTAACAACAGAGGAAATAAGTTTTTTTAGTTACCTACCATGGACATATTGGATTCTTCATGTGGACACCACTCATTGAGGAATTGAAGACTTATCAATAGCCCGTTGACCCGTTGACTTTCTCTCTAAGTATACACTATACAGTGATATACAGTGACCGTGACGAACTAAAGACTGAAAACTGAAAACCAGAAGGCTGAAAGTGAAGAGCAACGACAAGAAGCTAAAGCATTCTTCAGAAACTCATCAATGGCGGCACAACTCACTTCCAGACTACTCCTTCAAACTCATCACCATCGTCATCTTCCTTCCATTTCTCGCTTTCTCTGCTCAGTCTCCCCAAACCCATCTTCATCTTCATCTTCAACAGCAAAGCCATCAATTCCATCTCTGCAACCATCTCACGACGCAGATTTAATCTCCAACATTCTAATCGAACATCACAACCCTTTTCACGCCATGGAATCCTCCCTTCAACTCTACGGTATTTCTCTCTCTTCGTCTCTTCTTCACCAAACCCTAATTCGTCTTTCCCACCTCTCAAAAATCGCCCTTTCTTTCTTCTCTTACTCTCTCTCCTCTCACCCTTCTGCCATTGATGTCACCTCCTTCAATATAATCGTCGATATCCTCGGGAAAGTTCGCCAATTCGACGTCGTTTGGCAGTTGATTCTTCAAATGCAAACCCTAAACCTAAAACCCCAGAATTCTACTTTTTTGATCTTTATTCGTCGTTTGATTGCTGCTAATTTTACCCGGCAAGCGATTCGGGGGTTTGATGATATGCCCTGTTTTACTGAAACAGAGGTTTGTAAAGATGATTTTGTGTATGTGATTGATACATTGTGTAAATATGGTTACGTTAGGGTTGCAATGGAGCTGTTTAATAAAAGGAAATTCGGGTTCGAGGTTTGTGTTAAAGTTTATGCTGTTTTGATTGATGGGTGGTGTAAGGTGAAGAGGGTTGATATAGGAGAAAGATTGTTGAGAGAGATGATTGATAAAGGGATTGAACCTAATGTAGTTTGTTACAATATATTGCTTAATGGGATTTGTCGAAAATCGAGTTTGCACCCGGATGATCGGTTTGAGAGGACGATTCGTGCTGCAGATAAGGTGTTTGATGAAATGCGTGAGAGAGGGATTGAACCTGATGTCACTAGCTACTCTATTGTGCTTCATGTGTGTAGCCGTGCTCATAAGCCTGACTTGACTTTAGATAGGTTGGAGGGGATGAAGGCGAAGGGGATTTGCCCAAGTGTGACTACTTATACGTCGGTTGTTAAGTGTCTTAGTTCGTGTGGGAGGGTTGATGATGCTGAGAGGCTGCTTAATGAGATGATTGAGAGTGGTGTTACACCGAGTGCTGTAACATATAATTGTTTCTTTAAGGAGTTGAGAGGAAGAAAGGATGCCGAAAAGGCTTTGGAGTTGTATAGGAGGATGAAGAAAGAAGGTGTGTGTGTTGCGAGCTTGCATACGTATAATATCCTCGTGCAAATGTTTGTGAAGTTGAATAACATGGAGGTCGTTGAGGAGATATGGAATGATATGAAAGAAGCCGGGGCTGGACCTGATTTAGACTCGTATACTGTATTAATTCATGGTTTGGTCGAGAAAGAGAAATGGAGGGAGGCTTGTGAATATTTCGTGCAGATGATTGAGAAAGGGTTTCTTCCTCAGAAGATCACCTTTGAGATGCTTTATCGGGGGTTGATACAAGCTGATAAGCTGAGAACTTGGAGGAGGTTGAAGAAGAAACTTGACGAAGAGTCCATATCGTTTGGGTCCGAGTTTGAAGATTATCACCTTCAACCCTACAAGAGATGAGATTTGGAGATGATTTTGAGGTGTGTGATTCATGTACTTCAAGTTAGATAAACTGATAAAGTCTATTTTAAGGTTATCAAAATGTCTGATCACTATATATAATGAGTGTTGTCATGTTGTGTAACCATTTGGAACTAGAGGTGTCAATTCAGATAACCTATTTAGATACTGCAAATGCACCTCTGCCAATTGTAGAATCAGTACTTTTATTCATGGCTATCTGTTTTGCTGAATTAGCACTTAGTTATTGTTTGTCTCTAGACATAGGGATACATGTTCTCATTAGTTTGTGTGTTAATGGAATAGTTTACAGACTGATGACATGTGGTGCTACACTTGAAGAAAAAAGGGTAGACAAAATATATAGGATGCAGGTTAGTTTTACTTTTTCTTTCTTGTTTTTGCCATTATGTTTTCAAGTGAATACCTTGTTTGATTTTGGGTTGACATCTCAAACTGTGCTTTAGATATACAAGGGTGGCTTGTTCAAGACAGCTATAGAGCATAAAGAGAAAACATGTTACTTCAGTCAGCAGGTTTGTCTTCTGATTACTATACCTGTTGCTCTTGAGCTATTTCGAGGGTTGATAAGAAGAAACTCGGCGAAGAGTCCATATCGTTTGGGTCCGAGTTTGAAGATTATCACCTTCAACCGTACAAGAGATGAGATTTCGAGATGAATTTTGAGGTCTGTGATTCATGTTGGATAAAGTCTATTATGAGGCTTGTGATCAAAATGTGTGGTTGTAACCATCTGGAACTGGAGATTGATTGTTATGAAAAAATTATGGAATGTGTTACCATCTTCAGCGATGTGTGTATGACAGTCATGAGCTGATTCAATGCTACAGTGTGAAGTATACTAAAAGTGGCGATCCATGATCACTGGTCAGAACGTGACTTTGGGGTTATTCGAAAGGAGCTGAGGATGGAACTTGGTTTCTAGGAAAATATTTGAAGATCACGGCAAGAAACCCGGCTGAAGCTGAAGTAATGGCTATTAGAGGTGGAGTGGTGTTAGCTCTTGACTCGGGGTTGAAGAACATCATTAGTAGAATTGGGTGCAAGCTCTTTGAAAAACACTCTGGAGGATGTGGGAAAACAAGGAACAATGAACAAGCTGCTATTCTTGCTGATATAGGGGAATTCTTCGAGAGATGGCAACTTTAGGTTCAGCTATGTGCCTAGAGAAGCAAATTTCTTGGCTCATTACCTTGTGAATTATGCTCTAAGCATGATGTCAAAAAATGCTCTAAACATGGAGGAGGAAGTGAAGATACATACAGGTGACCCTAATTGCACCAAAGATGCACTTGATGAAGACTTCAGATATAATAACCGTCAATTACAGTAGAGGGCTCTGTTGCTCTTGTTTTTGGATATATCTGACTTCTGTCTATGGAAAAAATACAGATAGAATACACTTGTGATAAAATGTTTTGTGAAGTACTTCCTCCGTTATTAAATCTTTACCCTGTTGTTAATATTTAGGCTGTCCTAATATAGTAATAATGGATAGGTTGGATTTGTCTTATTATAAAATTGATTAATATCAAGTTTTATAAATTTTATGCATACAAAAACAGAGATAGTGGGTTCGCTTGGACTATGCTATGTATGAATGATCTTTTATATTTCATAGGAGATCTTGGTCCATATATTCGTTTTAAAATACTTCTTGAAGAGTTGAAGACCATGAAAAGTCAATTAGACGAAAAATAAATTAGGGACAGACGAAGTAGGTAGTTTTTATTGAGCATGCTCTAGTCGATATATTTGATAAACGTTTTTCGTTTATTAAATGGTTCTTTTGTAAATAAGTAAAACAGTATTAATTGCCAACTCATAAGTATGCTGTCAATTATTGTTGCGTGGCAAGGTTGGTCATTTAACTGAGCCAACAATGAAATAACTCCGTGATAAAGCTGAATTCATCAATGGCGGCCACAGAACCACCACCACCCAAACCAAACATGAACCTCTGCGAAGACCATTTCAACTCCACCCACCGACGACATCACCATTATCGAGGGCTTCGCCGCCAAATTAAATGAAAACCCTATGAATAAAGGGTTAAATTAAGGGCATGGTCAACCCCAAAGGGTAGGGGTGACCATGTCCTCCATTGAAGTAGTTTTCTTGGCTTGATTTTCAAAAATGTTGTTAAAATCGTGGAAATTGGGAAAAAATTACAAGGAAGAGAAAGGAGGAAGAAGTACTTCAATAGAGCAAACAGACTTATGTTGTAAGACTTGTAACTCTGTTTGGTAGGTAAGCATTAAGTGGGTTTCATGACATGGCATTATATGTCATTTATGGCAAAAGTACAATTTTACCCCTTTTAAAGTGGAAAAATTGTCCAAAATACCCCTTAATATGTTTTATTTTCTCGTTTTTATTCATTAAACATTTAAACTGCTTCAATTATATAATCCGAAAAAAATCGTCAACAGCAGGGTTCGAACCTGCGCGGGCGAAGCCCAACAGATTTCAAGTCTGTCTCCTTAACCACTCGGACATATTGACATTTGTGTTACCAAAGCGTATTTTGTATAATACAAAACGGCGAAATTAATGATTTTTTTCATACTCAAATAGCTGATCAGTGACACAGAGAGAGAAAGAGGGGATTTGCGAACTCAACTATGGCGCATCGCCTCACTGGTAACTTTCTTCATCTTCATCATTTCTCCATTTCTTCTTTATTTCCGTCTTTTCGATTTCATCCTCGATTTTTCTCTAATTTCGACGATCGTCATTTATTTGTCAATTCTGTTCAAGAACGATGCAAATTAAGGTTTTCCGATCTTAAACTTCCAATCTCTCTCTTCCACGAATTGATTTCTTTGCGTCCTCTTCCTTCTATCGTAGTTTTCTGTCAGCTATTCACTGCCATTTCCAAATTGAAACGCCTTCAACCTCACTCCACCATTATTTCTTTTTCCAGGCAGCTTGAATTGGTGGGTATTCGACCATTTAGGCCGCATTGATTTCGGGTTTTCAATCATGGCTAAATCTCTTAAACTTGGTTATCCACCCAATGATTATATCAATAACACCTTAATCAATGGTTATATCCTTAATGATAAGCTCCCTCAAGCTGCTCAATTGTTGGATAAGATTGTCAACTTTGGTTTCCAACCCGATATTGTTACTTGTGGTTAAAGGCCTTTGTAGGATCAAATTGCGGTGCAGTATCATCTATTCTGCTTGGTAGCTATTTTCACCATAGTAAGGAGTTTGTTTAAATAATAATCTGGAAGTTTAGATCAGTGAGCCTTTCTTACACATTCTGTTTAATATATGTGTACGAGAGGAGCACTAGCCCTTAAAGTTATGCAAAAAAATGTAGTAACAATCATATATCTTTTCAGATATTGTGAATTTTGAAGGTCTGATTATAATCTAATTCTACTTTAGGAAAGTGATAATTTTTTTTTATTTTTTTTAAAGTATATGTGAGTACTATCCATTAGATAGAAAATTTATATTTACTGTATATTATTACATGCTTTTGTAATCATTTGCATTTTTATAGAGCAAGAAGAAAACTGGTGTTGTAAAACTTACCACATTTAGTTTATACACTACATTCTTTATACAAAAAAAATCATCCAATTAAGGAAAATAACTCCTTAAAATGAATTGAATTAATGAAATTAACAAACCAGTAAGTTTGCTTCATCTTCCAACTTAGCCATCCAAGGCTTCATTAAAATCCTCGACCTTTGAGGTTATGGGTGATTGTAGTCCCCTTGATGTAGACCCCAACAGCATGTTATCAGAAATAAGAGAAAGAAGATCAAGGACACTACTAGATCGAGCTCGCTTGAAGCTTAAAGACTTGAATTTCTTGTTCTTGGAGAAAATATTAGATGAGTTTGTTAGAATCATATAAACTAAAGCTTGTACAACTAAAAACCACCCATGTTTATCAACATGTTATCAATTCAAAACATCTCAAACCTTGCTACCATCATATTTTGCCTAAGAAATTGATTGATCAAAGAGAAATTATTTACTTGTGAAAATACAATTAATAATATAATTGGTGGTTTAACAGTGGTTTATAATTGATGTTTATTCATGTTTTGTTATTAGAAAATGAAATATCCATATTTACATAGGAGGGGACAAGGGAGTGAAAAATATTCACATTTAGAGCCGCCCATTTGACTTTATCATGGCATCTATAATACAAGTGCACGTATTTTTTTTTTTTAATTTAATTATAAAAAATTATATCAATTACTCTCTGTTTTTAAGGTGAGGGTGTGGGTGTGGGTGTGGGTGTGGGTGAGGGTGAGGGTGAGGGTGTAGGAACGTCTCCGGTTGTACTTCTTGGGCAAAAGCTCCTCCTACGAAAAGAGCTAGTAAACCAATGAATATTATTGCCTTCATGTTTTTGTGGGGTTTAAGGTTTTGGTTTGTTTTCTCAATAATAATAAAACAAAAGGGTTTGAAGGTTGATTTGTGTGATTTTAAACCTGAGGTATAAGGGGGTTTATATAGATTCTAAAGAAGTGTTTGTATAAACTTGAGACTCTAGAATTGATATTATTAGGCTACTAATTCGTATAAGATAAACTTTTACAATAATTGGTATTTTACTCAACCTCTAACTCTAATGTTGGCATGTTGCATGCGTGTATACTGTATATATAGTCTTTACTGGGTATGATAATAGTTTGTTTTATGTACGTACAAAACCAGAATTTTTATCCCCTACAAAATAATATTATTAGGAATTAAGATAATTTTTTAGACATCGGTTATGCTACAGAGTATCTAGCTATATAGATTTACTTAATCTAATTCTTTTTGTTTGCCCAATTTGTTTTTTGCACCGTCTCAATCTAACAAGATATAGGGTCATTGTGTTTTAAAATATAATCGTATATTCGTTTTTAAAGTATTAGATCGATTTCATTAGCATTATCTTGAAAGATTTCAAATAGCACAATCTGTAATGAATCGAACTAGTATGTACTCCGTATATATTAAATAACACTAGAATATTCTTATTTATTAGAATTTAAAAAAATTATCCGTAATACTTTATCTGATGTAACACACATTCGGAATTTCGGATATACCCAAATTTCGCAAACACAACAAAGAGAAAGTTTATCTTAACTCAGGGACTCAAGGTAGCAAAGTCATCTTTTAATTACTACGAGTAGTAGTTTTAATTTGGACCTTGTCACTTTCTACTCCATTAACTTTCTATAATGAGAGGAGAATTAAAAATTGCAAAAACCAGGTATAAAGTTTATAATTTTTATTAAAAAAAAAAATCCATAAATAATAAGAATTTTCATAATTAATATACTGAATATGTACCCATACATCAGACATCATACATCATAATTAATACAAAATGAAAAAGAAGGGGCCCCATCCAAACCTAATTTTCTAGATTACCCAAATAAAAACAAACAAATAAATAAATAAATCAATTTTAAACAACAAATCATAATATTTCATCTTCTTTAGCCTCTAAGAGTAGACACAGCAAATAACCACTTGGGGTGGTTATTAGGAGAGAGATTGTGAGAAAATAATAAAATAATGAGGAGAGAGAAAATTTTGGTGGAAAATATTAATAACCTGGTTATTTCAATAACCGGTTATCATAGCTTGGTCATGCAATTTTTTTTTTGCTTTTTGGTTGACATGGATGGCTAAGATTTTGACACGTAATACAAATATCAATGGTTGAGATTTGCTCTGAATTTATAACCGTTGTAATTTTTGTAACGGCCATAATTTTTAAAATACAATTCTGAAAAAAAAAAAAAATACACCAACGGCTCTATTTTATTTTTCTCTATAAAATGAGCCCAATATTGAAGTATTTTGAAACAACTTTTTTTAAGTGAAAATTACTCTTCTTATTGGCAAATTGTGTTAAGATGAACATTCCAAAATCTAACAGAAAAAAAAAATCCACAAAATCTCATAACTCATCACAGCCCCAAAATAATCCAAATCCTCAACCTTACTATTCTAATCTTCCAATTGATCTCAACTCAGATTTAGATACAAATTTTCAAAATTTTCCGAATTACGGTTCACAAAATCTCAATTTCTCAAATCCAAGTACTTTCACTCCGTTTCCTTTTCAACCACCACAAAATCCTAATTATTCAAATTCTCCAAATGTTATCCCATCTTTTGAAAATATTCAAATCTCTCAAATTGATTCAACATTTCCCATGTCTCAACATTTTTCTATGTCACAAGGTGATGGTGCATTTCCGAGTTTCGATTGTTCATACACATCGAATGCATCAGATGACGAAAATGAACCAGAAGTTGAAGAAGGCGAAGGTAATGAAAGAGGTAATGAAGGAGGCAATCAAGATGGAAGGAAAATTTTTTGGTCAAAAGCTGAAGAAGTGGTTCTTGTGAAGGCTTGGCTTGAGGTTAGTCAAAATAAAAAAACTAACACTAACCAAAAGGGGGATGTTTTTTGGAGGAAAATTGAAGAAATGTATAATAATGTTAGACTATACAAACAAAGGTGTTTCGAAGAAGGTACTGATCGGGTAACACGAGAAGATTTGTTGAAAATGAGGGGTACGGAGCAACTTAGAAACCGTTGGAGAAGGATTAATGCTTCATGTTCTAAATT